GCCGCCGGTTTTGCCGTTTGGTTTCTGAAGAGTTTTCCCCCGGCTGCCGCCTCTGGCCGGGTTTTTGGGATTGGTGTTACTGGGGCAATTAACACCCGAGCTTGCGGACGGCAAACAGCTACGGTCTTATGCCGTACTGCTTATGCAGCCTGAGGAGCCAGTTAATTCAGAGTGCCCTTACGAAACCAGAAATGGGCCTATATGCAGGCCTCACTGAGCAAAACGATAACCACCAAGGTTTAAAATGGATCTAAAAAATTACAGTTGTTTAAGATCCCCTTTTACAAGTAATATTTTTTTTTAAATGCCCAGCCTACCTTACAGAAGTAAGATCTCAGGGGCAGAGGCCCTTAGCTAGAGGCAGCCTTACCCTGCTGTCAGTTTGCGTGCCTCGCTACAGCGCTGCTGCACTAAAGCTTGGCTTGGCTTCTCTTGCTTTCCATGGATGGTATAATCAGCACATTTTTTCAAAGTCCTATTTTGTATTTTTTTTGACACAATCCAGTCAGTTTGCTCTCAGAGCATTCCTTGTATCTACTGGGTCAGACACAAAAGCCCTCGTCCAAATTTGTGTTCTCACACAACTTAACCATACTGGACCTCTCAGACAACTTGGCATACAAGGTCTTTGTCTTCTGCGTTGCACATGTCGTGTCACGCTTATAAAGCTCGCCAAGACACACAGAGTTGTTGGGTCTCCTCTTAGCTTATATTAAAACACTTATATAAATTACTACTACTTGCTAAGAGTAGTTCACAGGCTTTTCAAAGTGTTTCATTTCATATCTGTTCAGCATGGAGCTGCCACTCTCTAGAAGAAAGGTTTATCTTTCAGAGTACTTGTTATTTTTAAGCCTGACAAGCAACTCAAACACAATTCGAAGTTGGATTTTTTCTTATTTTGTTTTCCAAGTTGTTCAGAACAGAAGTACGTGTTAGAATGTAACAGCCCCTGTACCTAAATTGCAGCAACCTAATCCTGTTTCTGCTGGCACTGGTTAGCGTGTTGCAGGTACAGCTCCAGTTTAGGATAACCTGAGGGAATAGACATATGCATTAAAAAAAAAAACTAGCTACAACAAATAACCATGCAGGATAACGTAGCTGTGAACAATGAGATTTAAATGTTAATATCTTTGCAACAAGTGCAAAGTCTTACTATCAGGTATCTGCAGCACGCTGCTGAGCTGCTGTTCACAGGTCCATAGGTAGAGAATATTTCACATAATTTTATTTCAAGTATAAAATAACAGTATTTGTTTTCTGAAAATCCTATACAAGTCAAACCGCATTTCTAATTAACAAGGCAAAATACGAACATCTAGCTTTCATGATAAATACTGGTATAAAAATAGCTTCCTGAAAAAGGTACAAAAGTATTTGAAGTGTATTCCATAGGCTTCTCATTTTTGTTTTACGTACTTACAAAGAGGTTTTGTACCTTGAGAGTGTACAAATGGCAACAGCACTCAGGCTCTTGTAAAGGTTTCGGGTGTCTTTTACAAATTTTAATTTGAAAGACAAGCAGTCTACAGAATAACCCCAGGCGGAACGGCAATGTTTCCCCCTTATCAGATACGTTTATTAAAGAAAAGGAAATATTTGGCCCTGCTACAAAGGAAAGGTGAATGAACTGAAGCTGTCAATGAGGAAACACTTCATACTGCCGAGGTAAGTCAAGGTGAAATGGGTAGCAGGCCAGTAAATGATCAGAGGTCCACTGAATTACACTGCCAGTTCATGAAGCAAAACATACAGAATTCTTTTAAAATGCCACTGAAGTTTGTTCCGTAACCATGTCCCTCCCTCCCTCAGTTTTACTTCTGCCTTTTGTGAGTGCAACTGTTCCGTGAGTTTGATATTAAACTCCAGAATGGAAGATAGAGTAGATGATAAAATTTTCAGAGGCGTGTAACTCGAAGTCAGTAGTTTAGGTTTATAAACCATTAGTCTTAAAATGGATCGTCAGTGCCATCAGAATGAAATGGGTTGCGCCATATATTAATTTAAGAGCAAATGCAATGGGGACATTCCAATCAGAACACAGTGGTAATAAAAGCTGTAAAGGCTTTTGTATAAAAGTCTGCAGATGAGATTCAATAATTATCAGAATATAACACGAAATTACTTTTAAAAAATGACAGGTTTTACAGAACAAGACTAAATGATGCATGCAGTAACAAATGGGGCACTTAAGAACTACCATCTTTATTCTGAATAATTTGAGATAGATCACAGTTACTTTAGCACCATGAAAAACATCAGACATTCATTTCTTACCCTTCTAACAAAGCAGAACTTTAAGGAACAGAGTTAAGGCTAGCAAAACATATCTCCTTTAATATCAAAAACAACATACAAAACATGAACTCTAGAAACAAACATGTCAGTGTTATCAATATTAGCGCACATTTTAGTATAAAATCACTCTAATCTTACCATACGCAGTTCTGAAACAAAACTGTTGACACTATACATTATATTTATATATATATATATTAAAAGATTAAAAGGCATACTGAAAATATGCCACAGTTTACATGACTAGAAACTCACTGGCTGTCTGGAACTGTAATGGTGCTGAACTTGTCCACAGTGAAACACAGAAAAGAATAATTATTCTTCCTCAGCTGCCTCCCACATTCCAGTGCTACAGCTCCTGTCGTTAAACACAGAATGTTTCCATATGCCCTGGTCAAAATACATTGCATTTATATATAAGTACACACACACACACACACGCTCTCTTTCAATATGAGAGGGTCAGTTCTGACAGAAGAGTTAAGACACCCAAAAGCCAGCTTCCATAACACACCCAGCTCCCCGGAGGGGAATCGGGCGCCAAAGGCGGCAGCACCTCTGCTCCCTGCCCAGGGAGGATGGCCAAGCCCCCGCGCCCGGGCTCCGCAGCGAGCTGCCCCGTGCCAGCAGTGAGAACCCGGCTGCTTAAGCTAACCCTTAAGGACGGTCCTAAGGATAGTAGCGTTGATTTCCCATCCTTAGATAGTTCCTTCGGGGCTGCAAGGAAGCATCTCCTGTCCCTTTGCCATGTACTATATCTGATGCAAAAAACCCAAGCAGGGCATTTTCACTTTAAAACGGTAGCGTCCTTTTTTTACATCATAAGCGTTCATCTAGCATGTGTGAGAACTGCCTTCAGCACTCTTGCGAGTTGATTCAACCTCACACGTCCCACTTCACAAAAACTTGCTTAGTCTGTCAGGCTATGGCTATTCAAAGGTTTAAATGATGGGAGGAAGTTTGAGAAAGGAAGGCTGAAAAGTACTATGCATATGCGATATGGTGTGCATCAGCTTTGACAATCCAGTGTCACATCCACAGGGAAGGGGAGAACGTATATGCCCAGACATCATACACGAAGAGCCAAAGGAGAAAAATGTCAGTTGTCTACCTCATCTGACACAGAATATACCCTGAAGGATGGCCACAGAATGGCTATGTCATCTTGAGTAAGCAAACTCAGGAATGTCCATAAATGGTCACTGAAAGTAAATTTAGAAAAAAAAAATTTAAATGTTAATGCTGAACAGAAAGATTTGGATGAAAGGAGTTCTAACTAAGAGTACGTTAATTTCAAGTCTGGGTTTGAGACTTGTACAGGTCCTTTAACACGTAGCCAGAATAAATCCAACGATACTGTTTTTTATAAATTATACGTTGTATATTGTTGCATAGCTTAGATGTAAATAAGAACCTGAAGGGTTTTCATTACTTCAGACAGATATATTAAGATTCACAAGGATCTCATACCTACTGAAAAGACCTAAGCATCAGCCATACATAAAACCAACCCCTTGCTCAAAATTAAGGCTTGGTTTCAAGATCTGGTCTATTAAATTGCAGCATCAAGTAAGACTGGAAATTTCACACTGCCATTTTAAGTGAACCTCTTTCTACCCAATTTCTTCTGAAGCTTACCCTGAGAACATTTGATGGAAAAAAGACGATTACTCTGTTTACAGGAGGGGAGAGCAATGTCTATGAAAAGTACTCTGAACTGTTTTCAAGAGAGGGATACATCTGAATGATTTAAGGGTTTTCTTGAACTAAGCTAGTATTTTAATTTTAGAATCTACCCCCAACAAGATTAAATCTGGCATGAATTCAGTCATCAAAATATGAGTTGAGCAGGTTTCCCCATGAACTGGTTTTCGCATCCAAAATTAAATTTTGCTACAAAAATTTGTTTACAGTTACTCAGTCAAAATAAAATTGACTATTCAGTGCTTTTCTAGTTTTCATAACAGCAACCATTTCTACATTATTCAATCATTTTTTCATAAATGTACTAAATATTTGTGTTGGGGTTTTTTTGTGTTTTAGTTTGGGTTGGGTTTTGTTTGTTTATTTTTAAAGGGAGAGCACTAACCTCACCTTTAAAACCTCAGGGTGTACAGAATCCAGTACAGCTCTAAGTTTCTCAGTGGTTAGCCTGCCTCACTGCTAACAACCTGAACTTTACTTTCATTTTAACTGCATGTTATCTAGCTTTTGGACACAATCTTCTTACGCTTATGTCCAATAAAGAACATTTTCTATTGGACATTTCCCCCATAGATACAAGCTAATAGTAAAGATGCTAATAGAATTCTCATATATTAATTTACTTTTTTAACCTTTTCAGAAAAGTCATTTTTTTCCAAAGCCTTTCCAATTTTTGCATTGCTGTAAAACAAGCACTGGCATCAGAAATAGGTTCATTATTCCAACATCATCACACCAGCGTCGCTTCCTTACCCCTAACTCTGCTTCCCTCTTGTCTAACATCCCATGCACTAGCTGTTTTTACCATAGTAATCACTCCTAAACAATATTCACTCATCATACCCTCTTTTTTTTAAATGCTGTCCTTCATATTTGTGAGCATAATTTACATTTTTAGTTACTCAATATGAGAGTTTGGATTTTTATGTACAGATACATTTTTAAAGGGTATGGCAATAATTAATCCATACTCTTGTTATACTATTTCTGTATCATTTCTAAAACTTAACGATTGTTTCATATTCTCTCCCAGATAATTTATATAGATACAGAGCAGCAAGTCGGGAAGATGCCACAATTACATCAAGATGTCTGGTCACAATGATGTCAAATTGCATCAGTGCTAAAAAGCAGCCTTGTTTTTGGTTAAAAACTCAAAGCTAAACCCCACGAAATGTAAGATCTGTGATGAATACTAATGTTTCATAACAAAGCAATAGGAAACAAGAGGCTTTTACCAAACTTACTTAACACCTTTTGCATTGCCCAAATAGAAGAAAATACTGAGTAACATGTTCTACAGAAATACTCCAGACAAGAACAGCGTAGGCTGTTAACATCATTTTGTAATGAAGGCAGCATTTTGTAGTCATTTTAATTAACAATACTATGAATATTTTAATGCAATTTTTAGAAGTACTGATGAGGTGCAGAAGCACAAGTCCCAGTGAACCTAAAGGGACCTCTGTTTTACAGATTGGTTTGGCTGGGGTTTTTTCCACCTTCCAAGTCCCTCCCATACACTTCTAACATTTTAAGACTCAATTCTTTTAAGCCTCACTCATGTAAAAGCAGGGATTGAAACTCTGCAACATTAAAAAAGGTATGAGCGTTGGTCTCCAATAATTAGGATGCTTTGCACGATTATATTTAAAGGACTTTTGTAAGTTGGTAGATGTAAACATTCTATGCAATAGTATTGCTAATGTAATGTTTATATTGCAAATGTACATGGGCTTTCTGAGCAATTTACTACAACTCTGGAGAAAGAAAAATAATAAAAATAGAAGAGACAAAAATAAAGGTTATAATTTTAAAATGGTATGCCTTCATGGTGTATGTAAAGAACAGGTATTGTTACTCATTAAGAAAATGCACTTAAATGTGCATTCTGTCTTCAGATCACACTTAGTTTACTCTCTGCTATGACACTTCTAAACAAGAAAACAAAAATTGGTGTCGAACGGACCTGAAATAAAGAATGGTTAAGTATTCCACTGCATTGCTGATCCATATCCACAAATAAACAATGTACTTGGAAGTGATTTATGATAAACTGAAAAGCAGTGTTTTCATCTCAAAGGATTATGCTTTCAAATATTTTTCAGAAATACCTGCTTGACAAACAGTGCATAATACCGAAGAATACATCAGTAATAGGGCCACGTGTTTAGTATGTTAAGCAAGAAATAGGACATGCAAAGGCATTTCTTTATATTCAAAGAAAATATGGAGCTATATCCTACACCCAACTGAACACAGCTATAAAGACCTATCATAAACCTGCATCTTCCCTTAGTGCAAAAGACTCTTTAATTGTTGAATGTCATTTTAATAGCTCGTGTATATTTCCATGTTAAAAACAACTTATTATTGCACTTAGAATGTATCCTTTAAAGCTGTCTTGTTTTTAAGAATAAAAAAAAGAAGAACCTAACAAGTACAACAGAAGAATTTGAAGTTTAGTCTAATTCACAATACTGCTCCAAAGTATTACTGTCAATACAATTTCAAAACTATCGGCTATTTGAGGTTTAGCGGAGAAAAAAACACACACATACATTAATAGTATTGCCTTCACCAAGTAAAATATTTCTATCATTCAGCAGCTTTACTTCTGAACGTGTTTGCACACAGAGCTTAGTTTGTGTATATTCAAAACCTGTGCCCATCAAAAATTTCATCCTTAGTGTTCTTTGTTTGGGCTACTGTGAAAATGTGAATGCAAGAACAGGTGAGTGTTTAAGCAAACTGAGCAGGCTGGAGCATTCAGGGGGAAAAACAGATGTTTAATAATTTAGCTTTCTAATGCAAAACGATTTCAGGAAGAGTTAAGGTAATTAAAAAGATGCATATTCCTGTTCATGATATAGAATTATAAAAGACTGTATAACAGCATGAGAAACTTCAAAAAACAGATCAGTCATAAGAGCTACTACATTTCCCGGTATAAACACCCATGGGTGTGCCTGCATTGGACCATAAAAGTTATTGAAGAATCCTGGGTCAGTGAACCAAAACCAGCTTTCACACTTCCAGAAATAGGTTCTGATGAATTAGAAAAATATTCTCTTCACACACAGAATCACTACGGACGTACACGCTAATGCTACAAAACTTCAAATACTTTGAAAATGTGGCTTGAAATCAAACTCAACAACTCATCAAAAAAAGTTCAATGGTATAAAAAAGATTCTTATAGCTGTTTTGCAATTTGAACAATGGTTCAAAACTTCTTCAGTATCATATAGTATCTTCAGCCAAAAAGTACAAATCTAGCTTCAGTAGAAGGTCAAGCTGGTACAGGAAAAGAAAGCATCAAAAAACAGATTCCATTTCTTTGACTGGCTTCTCTGTAGCGTCCAACACCAAAGTACTTTCATTTTCCAGCATTTTCTCAGTAGTTTCTCCATCAGCAGGTTTTGCTTTTTCTTTTAACTTCTGCCGTTCATGGACCCAGGGGATGACACATAAGATAGCCCCGCCAATAAGGGGAGGGACTCCGGCCAGGTAGAACGCTACATCATAGTTGCCGAGGCGATCACGCAGCAAACCTGGAAAGACAGAGAGTTACCACTGGTAAGTAATGGGGCATCGGGAATCTACAACAAACATGTCTTTTCTTTGGATTCAGAAACTCGAGGGCTGGCACAGATTATTATAACCACTGATCTGACTACCTGATGGCCAAACATAGGCGTACATATAGGTAGAAGGGTATTCCAGAGTTGATTCGAAGACTCCAAGTAATGAAGAACTCAGTATGTCACCACTCGACTGCTTAATTACCACCTATCCTTAAAAACACGTACCCTATTTCCTATTTGAAAGTTGCTCATTTCAGCTTCTCCAGCACTTGAATCTTGCAATGACTTAGAGAATTTTTCCCTCTTTTGGTAACAGTTGCCTTTGATCAAGGTGCCTCTTAATCTTATTCTAGATATACTGCATATGTTGCATTCCCGGTAGCCTCTTATTAAAAAGTGAGTTCTCCAACAATTCACTCTAGTTGCTCTCTCAAAACTCCTCCCATTAATCAAATTCTATTAAGTATTAATAGCTGTGATAGTGTATCCAGATGAGCAAGTGCCTCGTCTATGCTGTTCTAGCTTTAAAATTTTGTTCTTTATAATGCTGCATAGTTCAGTTATGTCTTACTAAGTATCTGTCAGTAGCACTCACAAGACCTTAGGGTAAATTATGATTGAAAATCATCAGTGGTAAGGGTTATAGCTTAAGCTATTTCTACCTCCCAAAAGAACTTCCAGTTTTTATCTTCAAAACCTGTACTTTGTCAAACAGTCTCCCATCAAAGAATGAAAGCAGCAAAAGTTCCTACTTAGAAGAAGCAGTTAAAGTGACCGGAGCTTTTATCCTCACAATTGTTTTCGCATGAGCAAATTTTGGAGTCCAATTAGTTTTCAGATTCTAATTTGGAGTCCTTCTGTAACACTAGCAACGTATAGGCTGTCACCTCAACAGCATGGAAAGTGTCAGGTCCTCAATCCAACTGGAAACCTATCTTTCTTTTGAAGAATGTTTTACATCTGCATAACAATAAAAAAAGACTGAAGCAAGCTTTAAAGAGTACAGTAAATTAATAACGAGCAGCAGTTAAATTCACCATATATTCTGGAGCACGTACCGAGAAAACTTCCAATGTAAGTGCACTGCATATGATGTAGGAATGGAAAATACGGCCAATAAGTCGTGCAACCGTAGAAACACATTTACAGCTACAGACCATATCTACACTTACCTGCAATGGGTGGACCAACTGTCATAGGTATTGACATGAGTCCCAGTAAAAATCCTATGGCCTGGGAGACATCCTGAGCCCCAACAAGCTCAAAGGCAATAGGAGCCATAATGCAAATGAAGCACCCATCAAACAGGCCCATGAAGAGACAGACAGCAATGAGACCTCCAAAGACGTGGCACAGTGGAATCATCATAGACATCAGGCCAATAAAGAAGAATGAGGCCACCTAAACATGACCAAGGAAAAAAATACAGAAACATGTGGCATCAAATCAGCAAAGATAAAGGGAACAGATGAGCTTTCTTGCATTTGTAGTGAATTGTCTGCCTGTATTTACTTTAAAATAAATATAAGCAGTCTCCAGGGATTACCACCATCAGAAGTTACATACCAAGATAAGACAAACACATGTAACTCATGACATGCAACCAAAGAAATTCCAAAAGTTTTCAAAATCCACTTGTAATCAACTATCCTTCAGTGATTATGTAAAGTCATTTCTCGTAACATTTTTTGAAAAGTTACTCCCTGCTCTTTTCACAAATGAAAGCCACAAAAATATCAGAAGTTTAATATAGCTAAAACACTATAGTTAGACTTCTCAGTTCTCAGTTCTGTGTATTCTGATACAGAAAATACAAATATTATCTGAGATGAGTTTATATTTAAGTAGTAATGTGGTTATCTGTAGACAAACTCTAAACAAGATATTGTTGACCAGATTCTTTGTATTATCACATTATGGTAAAAGCAGCACTAAAACCAGAATCACTAATCTTTGTATCCAGAAGAGACAGAATGCATCACTCCTCTGTTACTAAAGATAGAATTTATAAAGCAAAATCCAGCAAAACAGGTCCATAAAACAGACTGCAGAAAGATGACAGTTGAACTTGCTGGGTAGAACTCATTCATGTAAGTTGTTCAATTATGAGACAGTAAAGTTCTAAGAGGAAAGAGGCTTCATTTGCAGTAGTCAAAAATAATCCTTAAGTAATTTTTGCATGAGATAAGATGGTAGTATGAACTGTTGGACAATCCAGAATACTACTTGAGGTGAATACTCACTTTCCCTCAAAAATGCTGATTTGAAAGAGGAGAGCTGAAGATGCTGGGGCATGGCTTACCAAAAGTGAATGTGTTTTTCTGGCTTAAAACTCGATGAAACCAACAGTACTCAGAAGCATTCTAGTTCATGCCCTAAACCAAAGTCCATGGTTTTCAGTTCTAGCTATTCGAGGAAAAGAATAAGAAAGCTCGTAGTTTTACTGCAAGTTGGGTATTCGTGCTTTGTAAATCATGTGTAACATCTCAATGCTGCCTTTCCACTTTTTATCTTAATATTGACATTTCCTGAAAGTGTCACAATAGGTATGAAATCAGTGCAAATGAATGAGACATTAAATTTAGAGTGCCTGATAATAGAGACTGGGATTGTAACCATGGCAACAAATACTCCGTCTTCAGAAAGATGGTTCTTTCCCGAGAATTGTTGTTTTCAATAATGTAGTACAGATAATAGCCATTAGATGTCTCCCTTGTTATTCATTTTAAAACAACAAAACAAGAACACCAAGTGGCTGATGACATGCAAGTTATTAACTAAAGCTTTTCCAAAAATCTACACTAACACTGCTACTTTCTAAAAAAAAAAAAAAATCATTTATAACTGTGGAGGGAAAAAAAGTGTGTATCTTCCTTCGTCCCCAAGCTTCAGCATTTCTGGAAGTTGTGATTCTTTCTGCAAGTAACCCCCTTCGTTCAGCAAAATCTCCTCAACTAAGCACCTCGTATTCCCATGACTTTACCAGTGTGCACTATGCACAGAACATACTTGACACCAAATTATCACCTATCAAAGATCAATAAAAGAGATCCAAAATCCTTAACAGAGGAACATAGGAAAAAAATACTAATCTTTCTGCAACCATTAAGAAATCATGGAATAAATCAAGGAAAGCAGAATCTAGAGAATCCCCAAAGGCTTTCTCACTCACATGCTAATGATTAGTAATTTCTTTCAATTCCCAGCTGAAAACAGCCAGCAGGTAGTAGACGTGTTTCCTTAGCATTAAAAAGAGAATAAAAAAAATCAGAGATTCATGAACTTTGCACCAAAGGTTCCTAGTATCAAAAACCATACATTGAGTTCCCTAGAGTTTTGAAACTTCTCAAATTTGAATCTCCAATCAGTTAATTCTCCTTACTTAATAGTATCTGTAACCAAAGCCTTCAGAATATTGTTCGCATATTCCTTCAGAGCTGTGTGAAGACGTACCTGTAAATAAACTTTTTTTGCACCAGGAATATAATCTGCAACTCTGCCGAAGATCAATCTGCCAACTCCTGACGTAATGCCCAGACACAGCAGAAGCACTTCTTCTGGCACGCTGTCACCAAATCTGTCTTTTACATGCTTCATCTGTTTGAAAAGAGGGTTGAGAAAAAAAACTGGCTTTAGAATTAAAAGGAAGATAAACCTTAGAAAACTTGAGTTAAATAGAAGTAATCTGTGAATCTCAGACTTACAAACATGGCTACAAATGGTCAACTAATTTACTCTGCTTTTACAGATTTTAGAATAAGTTTTGCACTGGCTTATCAGTATTAAGTGCAATACATTAAAAATAATCTGAAACATGTTGTTGCTTTATTCACAATTAAAGAACTTAATTCAAGAAAACAACAAGGCTGCACCTAATACCAAGGAAATTGAAGAGAACCTAGAAGCATTGTCCTCAACCACATTTAATTTACAAGTCATAGATTTAACATAACGCAGAATCCACAAGGGCTGTCTAGAAGTGGTAGCTTCACTGGCCGGGCCATGCTCTGAGGTCTGAAGTTACCAAACGATTAATGAGTATCAGCACAATACTGTGCATTAAGACAGAGATACATGCTACCAAGCTTGTAACATAGCTCAGGGCAGGAGCAAGAAGCAGAGGGGCAGAGAGTTGGAGGCCAGACAGTGCAAGCAGGAGGGGCCCTCCAGACTGCCTCATCCTGACATCCGTGACCACCTTGACATCCAGGGGCAAGGAGGAAGAGGAGCAGGAACCACCTGCAGTGCCAGACACAACAGCAAGCCCTTCCAGGAGAGGGTGCAGCTACAGCAGCAATGAGTAGGGCAAACTGGAAGAATGACTGATCAGCCACTTCAACCTAAAGAACTAGAGCAACTGACCGACGGTCCTGACACTAGACCATCAGCTACAATGTGATGAACTACCAGTGTCAGCAATTCTAACCTTTCAAGTCATGTTAAAAAAAAAAAAAAAAAAAAATCATAAGACTGGCTTGATGGATTTAGATTTTTTTATATTGTCTGTTTCTACAGTGTTTTTTGTTTCGTTGTTGTTGTGTTGGGGTTTTTTTGTTTGTTTATTTTTAAATCAACCATGAAGACCAGAAATTACCCATAAGAAAGATTTTTTTTTTTGCACAATTTTTTTGAAACACATTTGGCAATACCAAATATGCCAAAATGGGCATTAGATGTAGATTAGATGTAGAAATCAGTTGCATAGTCCTGCTATCTCTGTGCTCATAACTCCTTCCGAACAAGAAAAGACTTAGAGGTGTGAAGAAACAAATAGAAGAAACTGATTATAAGGAAAAATGTAGTAAAAACATTTGAGAGGCAAGGTGACCACAGGCTGACAGATCGGGATAGACAAAGCTGCACACCAGTTTTTGTCATTAATTCTGGTTATGTGATATCATTTTAAACTAGAGAACCATTATTCTCCTATCTATAAAATGGAAAAGCTCCATTTTAGTAAATACTTCTAGAGCAAAATAATCAAGATTCTTTCCTGGCCAGAGTGTTAATACACTTAGCAGAAGCTTTTTTTTCCCCCAACATAAACAGGATTTCCTGAGTGACGGTGATTTTCTTAACTATAAAATCAGTTGGGTTTTGTTGACATGTCACAGAAAGTCTATGAAATCTAATATTAATTTGTTCAATAGAATTAATTTTGTCAGAAAGGAAATAAGAGTTAGTGGGTTTGTTTTGTTTTCAAAGAATAACTTCTAACTTCAGTTGAAGACAGACACTTGCTCTTTCTGTTTTTGAGGCATTTTTTTATTTGCTTTTTAAAGACACATTTGGGAACAGGATCTGATGAAATTTTTCTTCTGGAATAATATTTAAACATAAAAGATAAGTTGTCCTATTGATTCCCTTTCTGTCAAAGGTGAGAAGAGGAAAAGCTGACAGTTTTCCCACCCCTACCTTTCTGTGCCTGCCAACACCTGCTGGCCCAGCCAGCGAGAGAAGCCAAGGTATTTTCTGCCATTCTTGTCACCTGTTCCGCTTCCATGCTTCTGCAGCCTCTGGCTTGTTTAATTAGCAGACCTGATTCACCCACTCCCTGGAGGCTTTTCAAGAGGCAAGATAAAGCTCTACATCTAGATAACTATTAACCCTGCATCTGCAACTGAGTAACTGGATTTCTCAAAGCAGCACTCTCAAGAGTGAAATGCTGTCCCCTCTTAGATCAAGGGGGGAAAATATTGGATTCAATCAACTCCTAAAGTAGGAAAATAACCACTACTCATCTCTTGTCCCCAAATATCTAAATTAGGATTTATTTTTTTAGCTTTCACTCCTCTTAAGCACACCATAACCTTAAAGAGAGCTTCCAACTAGATGTAAAAGGAGAAACTTTTTCCCCAGGAGGGCAGTAGGCAGCGGCGCAGGCTGCCCAGAGAGCTTGTTCCGTCTCCTTCCGTAGAGGTTTTCCAGACCCAAGTGCACAAAGCCCCGAGCAACCTGGTCTGACCTCAGAGCTGACCCTCTGATCCTTAGCAGCATATTTAATTTTCAGCAATACAGTCACTAAGTAAGCTGTAAGTAACAGCAGTATTATTAACTGAGTATCTGAAAATGCAGCAATTCAGGATTAGTTCAGTACCGTAAGTGCTACCTCATTATGGACTTAGAGACATTTCTTGTAACTATAGGTTAAATACATTTACTTATGATGAAGTAGCTTAAACGAAATTCAAATTTCCAGAGATTTTTAACAGATAGACCTACTCAAAAAATCCCATGATGGGCAATTACTTGTGAACCTTCTCAGGCAGCATCTCATGCACTAACACGCTTGCCATTGCAGAACTGTACAGGCTGTAATTATATGACTCTTTAGATATTATCTATAGGAGTCAAATGGGGACCCAGGCACACAGCAGACACATTGAAGGCCAAAGCATTTCCCTATGGGTTTTGCCTGTTCTCAGTGATGTAGCTAGCTCTTCACTCTCAGAGCTGTGTGCATGCTGAATTGCAGGGCTGGTTTTTCCAAATGCAGAAAAGGCTGGTAATTTTGCCTGAGCCAACCAGTGCAAGATTTTCTAGACTAGCATAGCTTCTTTACTATTTTAAAGTAAGTTATCATTGTACAATGCAATTTTCCAAATCAAGACATAGACAGCAGACAATACAACTGAATGCATCCCTGGCACCAGCATTTTACCTTATACCCTTGCTCTCTGTTATCAGGGTAATGCATACAAACACAGATCTTACTGTCCAAATTCTCATTACTGTTAGGATGAGACTAGAAGAAAGATTAACCACTTCGTAGTGGCTGGAATGCTTTCAGATACACTGTCCTGGCTAACCTCTCTCCATCCAGCCAAGACCCAGATTTTGCCAAGATCTTCCATTCAATGCACACACATTTTAGCTATATTCATGCACTGAATCAAAGATAGAGCAATCTGAGTATAGCTCCAGTTCCTTTTTCCAAACAAAGAACCTGAATCTGAAAGAAGTGGTAATGAACTAGTAAGAAATAATTCTTTCCTGGCAACTGCTTTCCTCCTGCGTATATTCCATTTTGGGAATTTCCAATCAAGTAAAGCTTTAGTAGGCTAAATGCAATGCAATCTTTCTCGCCAAACAAGATGGCCAACAGCAATATATAACCTAGAAAAGTTTGAGCACGTGAAAACCAGCATTTTCTTTCTTCGAGTCCTGATGCAAGTCCTAATATCTGACACTATCCTTACACTGGTTCTGAATGAAAAAAGGAAACTTTTACAGAGTACTGCTGGTACCATTTGTAAATTGGAGATACTATTCCTAACTGCTCCAAGTTAACAGTTTTCTGAAAGAGCTGAGGGGGGTTCTTTTGGTTTTGATTTTCCTTTCCCAGACAGGAAAAGAAAAAAAGGATAGCCTACACAAACTTTTCGTTCTTCATTCTTTCCAGAAATGCATGAGTTCTATAGAAATCCAGGCAAACCCGTACTTTCTTGGAATGCAAAGTGGTGAGCCGTGCCTGTAAGTAATGAAGACAAAGCTTTGCATGTGGTGTCAGATGAGTCTAAAACATAACCTTACAGGCAAAAACTATGATCAGAGACTGAATCGATCACAGGGCTCGTGGTATGGAGTCTGCTCTGAGGTATAAGCACTTGTAACATCCAGAACTGCTTTAATAACATTGGTTTTTTTCAGTACTAATTGGCCCTCTTAGCCGTGCAACAATTTTAAATCCAGACACCCACAATAATTCTAGACATGTATAATGTATGAGACTTAGCCATCAATCTAGGCACGGCAATACCTCCATAATCTATTGATTTGATTAGTACCATGGCCTTCAAAAACCCATTCAGTATTATTAGAAGGCATGATGGCCTTGTCATTCCATCACTCAGAATTTTTTTTTTTCCAAGCTGTAAGCACAAGAAAGGCAAAAGACAAAAATAAACTAAGTGCATGTCCAAGTTAGGATATTAGCAACTGACAGGACACAAATGGAGTGGGTATGTGTAGAAAAATTATACTGGTGCCCATCTTCAAGACTACAATTAGATCTTCAGAATTTCAGAAAACTAAGAGCTTGGGTTTATTTCACACACATCTCCTGAGAAAAGAACAGCCTTACTGACGACGTACAGATCTTTCTGTACTGTTCGTGCCATCACACAGCAGCCTTCCTTCAATGAACAAGTCAACCACATGCCTGAACAAGCCAACTCCTTCAAAGGCCTAGAGAAAAATATTAACTGTTGCCTTGATAAAGATATATCAAGAACTTTGCAGTGAACTGTTCTGGAAGGTTGAAAGTTTCCAGATGTGCTGAAAAGCAGAGCATAAAGTAACTCTGGACACATCACTCTATTCTCTAACATAAGGACTGACCACAAAAATGGGGGGTGTGGGGGGATATCAGAGAAAAAGTCAGTTGCCAGAGAACTGTATGATACTAGGCACAGGGAAGATCATTTAATGCAAATACATTTCTGGTCCAGACTCCACCAAAGAAACTTTTACTGATGAGCCAAAAGCTAGCAAACGAACCAGCAGCTCCTAACTCCTGAACACCTACTGAAACAATGGTGTTCTTCATGTTAAGAGACATGAAATAGCATTACTAATACCTAATGCAGATCCATTTT